AAACTGCTAGTGTGTCTGGTAGCTCAATCAGTCTGTCTGGTAGCTCAATCAATCTCTTTACTTGTCATCTTCCAAACTGTGCCAATTAAAAAGAACAAGCGGTTTATCTCAAATTCTAAATTGATTTCGACTTGCTGAAAATGATTGGCCTTGCACCATCTTTTTAATACTTTGGCAAAAAATATGAACTAGCTTGGTAAATGTTTCTTGTCCAAGGCAGATTATATGAAATTGGGTTTATACATGATACGGTTCTATGTACACATTTTTGGATCAAGTGACGCTATTTCTATAAAAAAATTCTTATGAATCTCATAGCTAATAAATAAGTTTTGACTTTATTTGATTTAATTGTTAAAAAATAATTAAAAATTGATAGTTAATATTTAATAATTAAATATTTTTATTTATCATTCAGATTTTCTTATTTGTCCAATTAGAATGAAACAACTAGTTGTATAACGACTAAGCTAAACCTGACATCAATTTGTGAAATGAAAGTCATCCAAATGGATGAACTGCCACATTAGACGGTGAAAATCTGAGGTCATAATGCATATTCATCAAGCAGGCCAGCCTGGCAGGATTTATGCTAATGTTACCAGGCTCGAAGTTGATATATCCTGTTGGGTTGAGTTCTTTTTGTAGGCCCAATTTAGATCCCCATATGGGTCAAATAACCTTCCTTCCTAGTTCCAAGTCCTATAGGAACTTGGCTCATTTGTCAATTCTTGTCTGAATATCTGACGGTTGTCTAGTTTTGGGCATCTGTCCGTTTAAAATGCTTATTTTCTCCCTCATTGCAGGGATGGCAATTTCTCCCTTTACTCGCAGATCCGTTGGGAATAGCTGCTACGGGGACGGGGTGGCCGGATGGGGAAGATAAGGGTGGGGAAGTGGTTTTTTTCCTTGTGAAATTTTACATGGAATTTTTCCTACCCTATAGAGCAGTATCGAGATTCTCATTTACCCTGAAAGTTATAAAAATGAAAAATGTCATTAAACCCAAGTACTCAATTCATAGTTATTACTTATTTTTAATTGAAATCCATTTTCTAAAACCCATTTTTTTTTTAAAAAAAGTAAACTGAATCTATTAAATATTTTAATTTTAAATAATAAAAAATAATTAAATTTAATAAAAATTGAAAAATCTCAAATAATAATTTCTTTCTTTAGTTATCAAAATTTTTTAATTTTCAATACTGTTTGGCGAGAAGTGAAGAATCCTGCGGATAATAGGGATGGAGGACCCAAAAATCCCTACGGGGATCTAGTGCACAGAGATGAAGTGCCTTTCCCCAACCCTGCAGGTCCATTGCCATCCTACTTTATTATGCTTGAGTTGATACTAGTACTATTCAAATTTTCCATTGTAATCTGTAGAAGTCATGAATGAACATAACCATAAAGATATAAGAGTCCAAAATTTGAGCAATTTCTAATCATACCTACTATTTTATATAAAAAATAATTCTTTGATAAAAAAAAAGACCATAAATAGCTGACTTCCTCCCCCCTCTCTCTCCCTCGCACTTGCTTTCTTATTTTGGTTCTTCTTTCCCCTTAATCGATGTTTTTATCATCTTAACGATTAGGGAAAATGAATAAAGGTGAGATTGTTGCTTTCATTTTATTTGAGAGTTTTCTCTCTCTTAAAGAGGTTTTATTATCATCTTTTAAGAGTTTTTACCTAAACTTTCTTGATATCTTTTATAAAGTTTTACCCATAGTAAAAAATAAGGATCTTGATTGGTGCACACCCAGGTGTTGACTCGGATGTGCACATATCATTTTCCAAAAATTAAAGATAACATAAAATAGATTTAAGGTTAGATAGATTCAGTTCAATTGCAGCACTTTCATCTACTATCAAGACATGATCAAGAATTAGGTTCCTTGGCTAATCTTCTACCCAAAAATCACAATTATGTAATATAAAATAGTGGTATGAGAAGTGTGATAGTTAGGGGCGATATGAAAAGTTAAGCATCATCTTTTTATATTTTTATATAACTCTATTAATACCTTAAGATAATTATTAATACTTTGACTCTATGCATTTAATTATTTATATATTTTATGAACTCTATCTTTTTATATTAGGCTACAGGGCCTTTTTATTTTTGTTTTTCAGCCTATATACCGAAAGTTAGTGCGTAACTTGGATTGTATCTGTTTTGATGTTTTTAATAAAACTATGCTCTTTTATTAAAAAAAATAATTCCTTGATAATGACACAACTTGATCTGTCAATAATCTTATTTACTTTTCAATTTTCAGGTTCATTTGGGGGAACAGGGGCAGCCGTAAGATTCAAACTCAGAACATAGGGCATCTTCTTAGGTATGTGGCAATTTGCCACCTGCCCAAAGTTTGCAAGACAACTGTTGAGAGATTCTGTTGCATTGTAAACAAATAGTTGACTTAGCCTAAAAATTGAATCTATTAATAAATTTTTTTGTTATAAATTATATTTAAGATTTAAATTTTGAGATTACTACTTAATTAAATTAGTTTCTTATTCCTTCTCATATGCATTTGAGAGAGTATAACATGATTCTAATTAAGGTTTTGCAATTTGATTGACTGTAAGCAATCAACACCCTTTTGAATAATAGAATTTTACATTGGGAAAATCTAGATACAAATGAAAAAACACTTTTCATTCCCTCTCTCAACTTTTATGTATCTGTTAAATTACCTTGCTTGGGGAGTTTGATCAGCGTCAAGTTTCACAGATATCATCCTATCAATTGAATCTCTCGATCCAGTTTGATGCCTCTCCCTTTCCCGAGCTTTCTCATCCGCCCAACATTGGCTTAACTCCGCTACTAATTCAGTCATGGTCGGTCTTTCCGAAGAAGTTGGAGATACACAAGTCATTGCCAACTCCAAAGCTTTCCAAGCAGAATTAGTGTCAAAATCTGCTTTTAATCTTGAATCAACAATGCTTCTCAGCTCACCTTTGTTGAGCACGGCACTGACCCATTGACTTATGTGAACAGCAGCATCGTGGGTCTTTGTGATTACCGGCCGGCCGGTGATAATCTCAAGAAGTACCACCCCAAAGCTGTAGACATCACTTTTTTCCGTTAACCTGTTGGATATAGAGTACCTGCATGCATTTCCAAATTGAGTTACAAAACATTTTGACTCTGTTTGGATTATCTGTTTAGGTGCAGTTGATAGCTGATAACTAACTATTGATATCCAACAACTAATAGCTGTTGTTTTATAATCCAAACACTATTCCTTCCTTTAGAAACATTAGAAACAACAGCCAATCCAAACAGACATTGGACCATATGTTGTTTCTTGCATATATAGGTCAGGTTCAGGTTCTTACTCAGGATCAAGGTAACCGGGCGTGCCAGTAACAACTGTGGACACATGATCAGCTTCAACTGAAAAAGTCCTGGACAACCCAAAGTCGGCTAGTTTAGCTTGGAATTCCTCATTCAGCAAGATGTTGGTAGACTTCACATCTCTGTGAATTATGGGTGGTTTGCAACCATTATGCAAATACTCCAAACCTGTTTTTGAGTTTCAGTTTTAGTCCATAATAGAAATCATAAGATGCGTAAAGGAAAAGAAATTTAGTTTTATGCTCCTAACCTTGTGCTGCCTCCTTTGCTATTCTCAGCCTCCTTTCCCAACTCAGGGTTTCAGTGCTTTTGTCTGCATTAACAAATTGTTATTGAACAAAAGGCCTCAAATGCAAGGAAATATGCACTTATGCAGTCTTTTTCTGTGTAATGTTTCCGCATAAAATCATACCACAGAGATGTTCTGCTAAGTTCCCATTAGCCATGTACTCATAGACAAGCCCCATGTTGCTTGCTTCGTCACAGTAGCCCACAAGGCTTGTCAAATTTCTGTGGTGAACTCTTAAAAGACGTTTGACCTGAAATATCGAATTTTAATCTAAATTAGTTGAGTATGTAAGCCATGATTTGAAACTCATTGCATTGTTTAGCTAAGGTACCTCCACTTGGAACTGCTTATACCCTTGAGCTGATGTTGAAGACAACATCTTCACAGCCACTTGAGTGTCATCAAAGTAACCGTGGTAAACTGTTCCAAATCCTCCCTTACCAACAGCTTTCTGAAAGTTATTAGTAATCTTGAGGACATCACAGTATGAAACTTGTCGATTGTTGGCCTCTACTTCTGACTGATCTCCATTACACAACCTGTTGTCTGGTCAAATTTGAACAAGCTTAATAAAACCATGCATTTCATAGTTCACTTTCAGTATCTTTGCTCATTTTCATTATGGTTATCTAACCTTTTTCCTTCCTCCTCTTGATGATAAATATAATGGCGAATGCAGCAGCAACGAGGATGAAAAATGAGACAACTGATGACACTAATGGCACAACAAAGTGAATCTTCTTCTTCTTCTTCTTCTTCTTACATGGTGGTGATGAGCAAAGATCTGGATTGTTGTCAACCCTTGATAATTCAATTGATGACAAGTAAGAGTTAGAATCCGTTTTTTCACAATGGTATGTTCAGACAGCAGAAACAGTAATGAATCAAAAGAAAAGGCAAACCATAATGAAAGTGAATTGTTCTTTGATCTCTCAATGAGTTCAACAGGAACTGTACCGTTGAGCCTATTTCCACTCAGATTTCTGTGAAAGCATGGAAAACATACATCCTTTTAGTTTTAGCACATATATACCTGCATTTCTAGATGTTAATCCCAGGAAACTTACAGGACTCTTAAATTGGTCAGTTGAGACAAAATTTCAGGTACTGGTCCAGTCAAACTATTGTTGGATAAGTCCCTGAAAATGTCATTGGTGTAAAATGAGCCAATCCAATCTACCTTCATTATTTAATAGCATAAAAAATTACTGGCTTATGCAATAAATAAGTTACTTACAAGACTCTTAAATTGGTCAGTTGAGACAAAAATTCTGGTATTGGTCCAGTTAAATTATTGTTGGATAAGTCCCTGAAAATGTCATAGGTATAAAATGAGCCAATCCAATCTACCTCCATCATTTAATAGCATCACAAATTACTGGCTTATGCGATAAATAAGTTACTTACAGAACTTCTATGATTGTGAGATTTGATATGTCTAGAGGTATTGCCCTTGTCAAACTGCTCGATGATAAGTTCCTGATTGCATGTTCAACAAGAGTTAAGTTAGAAACAAATATCAAATAAGTATTAAGCAACAACAAACTGAGTATGGAGGGTTGAATTCATTGGCTTTACAAGGATATGATTCTAGGTGGATCGTTGTAGCTGCAATTAAGACCATCCCATGAGTATGCTTGAGGAGCACATGGATCTCCTTGCCAATTTCTTTCAATTTCATACATTGACTTGATATTTGTGATAGCATCAACTAAAATGTTTAACAGCAACATGTTAGTCCATGCCTAATGTCAAAATCTGAACATGCTGCAATTAAAAAACAGGGGGAAAGAATTAAGAACCTACCATCCATCTGGTCTGTCTGTGATTGTGAGAGCTGATTCACCTCATAAATCTCAATTGCATTGAGAAGTGGTGGTAATGTAGAGTTTGCTGCTTTATATATTGAAAACAGGTATTGTCCTTGTCTTCTACGTAAAGGTGATGGACTATACACGGTGGTTGTGTACAAGTAATCAGGAGAAAAGGGTCCATACCAGTGCTGTCCATCTACAGAAATGTTAATCTGCCTAGACTCATTGGCTTGCAGCTTTTGAACTTCTGCAAAGTGTAGGTAGATATACAATTGTGTGGTCAAATCATTAACAGGTAAGTTGAAGTTCAGGGGCGCACTGGCATTTTTTGGGATGCTAGCAGTCCTCATGACAGCAGATGGTAGCTGAAACACATTATGGCTATCCCTATCTATGGTACGTGTAGTATTAGTTTGATTCCAATTACTGGATGTAGATGGCATCCAGATACGATCATAAACATCATCTTTATACCTGAGATATTGCTTTGTAATCAGGAAGACTAATCGATTGCTTACTGAAGAGAAAATGATGAAGAACTGAAGGGCTCACCTGAATGTCTCATTTGGTTCTGCACCAATATCCAACCTGGAACGGAGATTTAGTGATCCAGATTGCGTTCTATAAGTAGTGTTCTTCAGAGGCCTTAACTCCAATGCAGATATGAACGGTGTCCCGAGGCCCGTATTCGCAAGGCAGATAAACAAATCATCTGATGGGAGAACATGTATGATCTCGCGGGTTACAGGATCTGATGCATTTCTTATAATTACTGAAGCCCACAAGTTAGGCCCCAGATGCAAATCAAACGCAGGTAGTTTATTTTCTGCATCATAGTTTCCATAAAGGAAACTTGCTCTGATCAAATATTTATCCCCAGCTTTGAGGCTGAAATTGTAACAGTTTCTTTTCCCTGAAGGGAAGCTTCTGACTTCATTCATGGGCTGATTAACTCTGAACGGAAGAGCTATGCTCCTGCTTTCACCTGTGTCTATGAAGGAAGCATCTGACATATAATTCAATCCTATCGTGGGATCGGTGTAGTTGGAAGCTGTTTGTAATCCACAGTCTAAGCTAATGAATCCTGCAAGATTGACAAACTAAAGTGGTTTGGTTTTACACCTGGTAAGAGTAACATCAAAAAATTGTATGAAACATTTACCTGATTGATCTTGTGCAAGAACCAAAACCTGAACCAGGAATAGAGTTAGAAGAGCGAGAACTCCAAGCAAATCCCGGTCATATCTGAAAATTTCCATTAGAGTCGGCTGCTTCTTTGTTTCATAGGTGTAAATCATTCAACATATATGCTTTGGGAACCTGGTCAGTTCTTGTAGTTGTTTACAAACATGATAAAGATTCATATGTAAGAAAAGACCGATTCAAAGCGGTGTATAATATATATGACCGAGTCATGGGTCAATGTCAACTTGCATGGAAAGTCCCCTGTAGCATGATTTAATTATTGACTTGGGATGACTATGTCAAATATTATGTTAAGAAAACGAGTGGTATGCTTTTTTTATTCAATACTTTTTTATATTTTTTGGGTTTATTTGTTAAAATATAATATAAATATAATTAATATAATTAATTTTTATATTATATATAATTTTATATTTTTACATTTAATTATTTTTAATTTTAAATTAAAAAATAATAATATTTTCATAAATATATTTTATATTGTGTTGTACGCTAATCAATGCTGATTATGATATTAAAAATGAAGAAAAAAATGAAGGCTTAGTCATGTGAGTGTGACTTGAATATTATGCACATGATTAATCTTTGAGATAAGCTGGATGGAAACAGTTTGCAAAAGATCAAAGGCTTACCCATGAATGAGTAGAAGTCTTTTTTCTTTTTTTCTGGGCCATCGAATGAGTAAAATGGTCTGTAAACATATACTCTTTAGAATGGTAAGCGTCTATTCATTTGACAAAGAAACAAGTGCTTTGGCTTGTTTTCATTTATTAATCATGTTAATTAGTACTATAATCATATGGGAAAATGCAACCTAAGAGTTTGATCAATTGATAACAATTGTTATCGTGTAGATAAGGTTCAGGTTTAAAAATTGAGTTAATATTTAAAAAAATTAATTTTTTAAAAATATATTATAATGTAAAATGTGTCTTTAAAATTATTTGATAAATAATTAGTCTTAAATTAAGTGAAAACTAATTTAAAAACACTATATTTTAAGTTCAAATAAATTTTTTTAAAAAAAAAAAAAGAGAAAAGAAAAAAAAAATGTAGCCTAAACCTCGCGTTCACGTTAAGGCTTGAAATATTAATTTGTAGCGCAAGCTTCACATCGAAATGATATTTATAAGGTACCTAAAAGTCTCAGCTGCTCCTAACTTTTTTGAAAATTGTCTTGTTAAAAGAGTATTTGTTTTAATATCAAACTACTTGGTCATCATGCCGGCTGAATCTAGAAATTCAACCATGTATAAAATCAAAGAATATTATTTTAAAGTAGAACCATTTGGTTTTTATACAAGAAAGAAACAAATGAACAAAAGAGCAAATTGGGACATTATCATCCCTCATCTATCGATTTTCTTTCATCATGCATAAACTTAAAATATATCTGATTGCTACAATCACAAACTTATTTTATTGTATTTTTTCTTCTCTTTGATGCAGTGCAAAATGATAATAAACAAACTTAAATCACGCTTAGAGCCAGAACAATTAACATTTAGGTTATTGAAAGCCTCCTCTTTTATTATCCATATATATTATGTAAGGGTATGTTTAGTTTGGGGAAGTATAGGAGAGGATCATTTCATTTCTCTCATCTGCACTCATTTGGATAAACGAAGAGAATAAAAAACGTTCCTCTCCTCCCCTCCAATTTTTTTTGTAATTAAATAGATGAATTTTCTCTCTTTTACTCTCCTTTTGTTAAATCAAGCATACCCCTTAAAAATTAAGAAAAAAAAAATTAAAATTATGTCGTCTCATTTAAATACAATAGAAAAAGACTAAAAACAAATTTGTTCTTGCTTTAAAAATAGATTTTTTAAATCTATTTCAATAAGAGTTCAATAAATTTTCATAATTTTAAAATGTTTTTCTTTTAATTTTTTAAAAATTTAATTGATAAACACTTTAGTTTTATAGTTACACACGCCTCTTTTTTGCTTCCCATGTAGCTTATTGCAAATAAATCTGACGTTAGAAAAACAGATAGTATAAAACGTGAGAACTATTTTGAGGCATGGTTGGTCTCAATTTGCAGTTGATATTTCTTGCGTGAAGTGGAATCTATGTAGAAAAAGGGTTCAAATCTAAACATATAATAAAAGTAATTCGTGTGCAGCTAATTTTCTGATAATAAAATGCATAGGAGATAGAAAAAGACTAGCTTCAAACACATTAAAACCATGTTGCAGAGATTACTAATCTGGATCTCACAAACCACAGCGATAAGACATCAAAACCCAATACACACATAAAATATGTAGCAACAATTAATCTTGCTAAGCACTCAATCCAGTCTCAAGATTTATTGTTTTGCAAGTAGGTTTGCATAATCACCTAACCAAAGGACCCATTTCAATGCTGGAATTCAGGGCCACGGTCCCCATGCCCAATGGGTTTTCTGATTCATTTTCATGCCCTACATTCTTCCTTGCTTTCACAATTGCTAAGCAGTCACACAGTTCAGCCACCACATTCTTCATTGTAGGCCTTTCTGCAGAACGTGGAGACACACAGGCCATTGCTGCTTCCACAGCTCTCCGGGCAGAATCAACATCAAAATCTTCATTCAATCTTGGATCAACAATGCTTTTGATATCACCCTTTGAGAGCATGAATCTTACCCACTCACTAATGTGAGTCTTCTCAATAGTTTTTGAAATAGCAGGCTGGCCTGTAATGACCTCTAAAAGGACAACCCCAAAACTAAAAACATCACTTCTCTCAGTTAACCTTTCCCTTTGATAATACCTGCAGGAAATATATTGAAAGGTTGGTGGTTTGGATTGAAATATAATTGAAATTCTATATCCCTTGGACGTGGGATGGGAAAATGTACTCACTCAGGATCAATGTATCCAGGAGTACCAACAACAGCTGTTGACACGTGACTTCTACCCTCCATGTGAATGGGCTTGGACAGCCCAAAATCAGCTATTTTAGCTTGGAACTTTTCACTCAGTAAGATGTTTGCAGACTTCACATCTCTGTGAATTACGGGCGGTCTACAGCCATTGTGCAAATACTCCAGCCCTGCATTTGGACTTTATTAGTGTTGGAATTATTCTTAGAAATGTGGCATTCGAATCTGCAAAAATGATGAAATGAAATTGCCATGAAATGGCAGCAAATGGCTGAAAATTGACAGCAAATGAAGCTGCAATTTGACAGCAAATATGTCATCGACGTAGATGCAAATATGATGGAAATGAAGCTGTCAAATGACAGCAAAAATGTGCAGCAAGCTAAGCTACAAATGTTGATGAAATGAAGCTGCAATGAACAGAAAAAGAAATGTAAATGCAAATGCAAATGCATCTGAATGAAGGGCTGCAGAGCTGCCAAAGGACACAAGCATGCGGCAAAAGTGGTTGTTACTTATTTCAAATTTCAAATGTACTTTTATTGTGCTTTTTATGTAGAATAGTTGCTTAGAGAACCCCAACAGGGTCGCTCAACAGTTAAGAACTTGAGAATCCAAGTTGGAAATCTCAAGTTCAAACTTTGAGTTTGGTGGGGAGAGATTTGGGAATAGGGGAGGGCTATCCCTCTTGTATAGCTCATCATTAGATGTACCAAAAAAAAAAAAAAGAATAGTTGCTTAGAGATGATTCAAAAATTTTCGAATTTTGAATTGTTTTAAAGTTTGTATTCTGCTATATATATCAGAGATTGTTAATGAAAAAATCTGAGTTGGAGTGTTATACTTCTCTCCATTTTGGTTTATGTTCAGCTCTTCATCTTCCTCCCGATTTTCTCTCCATTTCTTTGTGAAAAAAACCAACAAATGGTATCAGAGCCTTTCATGATCTTTGAGGGCTTGTGTGAGAGAGATTTGAGGGAAATCTACCACCACAAACTCCGACCAAACCCAAATGGCTGCAAGCAAGTTTTTTCTTTCAAAACCCCCCTTTCTTTTCTGACCACAGCAAACTCCTTTGACCAAAAATGCAGCAAAGATGCTGTGATTTTGTGAAGGTTAACTTTAGGTCCTTCAATCTTTGAAAGTGGTTGACAAAAAGATGCAACCAATTTGTTAATGCAGAAGAGAGTAGGTGAAGCTGTGAAGTTCAAGGTTAAATTGACGTCCTTCAATCTTATCGAGGCTGAAGATTTGCAAGAAGCATGAGCAAAAGATACTGGTTTGATGATGTTTTATGTTGCTGGTATGGGTGGTGTTTCATGCTACAGCATTAGTCTAAAAAGGCAAGGATGGTATGTGAAGGTGCAGGTTGGGACCAAGAGAGAACTCAATATTGCATCAAGTTATTTTCATGACCGAGTAGCCAAATCTTTAGCCCAAGGAAGCTGTAGAAGACGAAAAAGATGAGGAAGTAGCACTTTGAGGTACCAAAATCCTTGCTTTTATTTACTCAGAAAATGCAACTTAGTTGCAAAACCTCCAAAATTTGTTTGAGGCAGCAAAATCCAGAGAAGGAAAGCAGTAATGAAGGAGGAGCTGAGGTTGTTTGAGAAGGATGGTACTTGGCTATGAAGAAAATATGAAAACTAAGTACAAAGATGGACAGCGAAGGGTTGATCCCAGGTGCTTAGGCATAAATCTATTTCTGTTTTGATTTTGCAGCTTTGATGCCAAGGAGGAGAATTAGTTTACTTTTAACAGTTAGAAACTAGGAGCCTATTTGGTTTGAGGGGAGGGGAAGGGCGGGGAGGAGAGCTTATTTCAACCAATCAAAATTATTTCATTAGGCCAACTGACTTAATTTAATTGGTTGAAATAACCTTCCCTTCCCTTCCCTCAGACCAAATAGGCTCTAAAAGACCCTATAAAGGAGAAGGGGGAATTTGGCCAAATGCACAGATTCAAGACCTGATGCTGCATCCGCCACTATTTGAAACCTTTGCTCCCAACTCAGGATAACAATGCTGCTCTCTACAGACAAAAACAAAAAGCTTGTGAGATCTTAACTCAAATGATGTCTGAGATAAAAGACAATGGAATAAAAATTTATCAAATGAACTCAAACTTGAAAGATGGCCAAGAAAAAGAAAAAACTAAAACCTGAAAGAAGCTCTGCTAGATTTCCTTTGGCCATGTACTCATAAATTAGCCCCATTTTGTTTCCCTCAGCACAATATCCGATGAGGCTTGTCAGATTTCTGTGATGAACTCTCAAGAGAAGTGCAACCTAAAGTTGAAAGCCAGAATCAAGATCAAGATGTTATTTGTAACTGTGTCTAATTTAATATCTTTAAATCTATCCCAAAATGTACTCAGTGCTTCAAGGTAAAACTTCTGTAATTAGGGTCATAACCTCTGCTTCAAATTGCTTGTATCCTTGATCTGGTGAATGAGAAAGCATCTTCACTGCCACTTGAGTGTCACCTAAGTAGCCATGAAAAACTGTTCCAAAACCTCCTTTCCCAAGAATTCTCTCGAAATTATTTGTGATCTTTAGGACCTCAGAGTATGTTACATGTAGATTCTTCAGCACCAGTGAGTGGTATTCTCTAACACCACTAGCTAATAAAAGAAAGATCAGAACAAGGATAAGAAATTTTTTTTTTTCCAGGAGCATTTGTAGGTACTTCACTTTTAAATGATTGAGAAATTTTTTTAGTTTAGCATTTCATACCTGTAACTTTTCTCCTTTTAAGCCTCCAAATGATACCCAATCCAATCATGAGGACCCAAAGTGAAGATAAGATTACCACTGCAACAACATTCTTGATACTTTTCTTCTTGCATGACATTGAGGCACAAAGATCTGGATTTCCTTCAACACTAATGTAGCCAAATTCCAGCTAAAACACGTTAGACAAATAATTTGAGGAGAGATGGAAGATTGGAAAAATATTGGAGCCTTTTCCGAAAGGAGCACATGCCTTAGTTGTAAACCATTTTCTGACATTTCAATTAGTTTGGCTGGAACTGAACCCTTGAGCATGTTTGCTTTCAAATTTCTGCAATTTGCATAGCAGTAATGAGTTTATTTACCTAGAAAGAAACACCTTTTTAAGTGATAATCAAAGTAGCTTACAGCACTTTCAAGAACTGCAGGTGAGAAAGAAACTCAGGAACTGATCCAGTCAGCCTATTATTTGATAAGTCCCTAGTATGTGAAAGAAAATAGGTAAGCTTATGTTTCTCGTCCATTCTCAAGAGGTATCTGCAACTGTCTACTGGTCCTTTGGAAATTGAGATACTTACAGATACTGTAATTCAATGAAATTAGCTATATAAGGAGGTATTTCTCCTGTCAAGCCGCTGGAAGATAAATTCCTGTTCCATAGTTAATTGTTCATTTAACAAAGATACAAATTAAATGTAAATTATTGATAACTAAAAGAGAAAGACACAACTTACAAGGATATGATTCTAGGTGGATCATTATCGCTGCAGTTAAGACCTTCCCACAGGTATGCTGGAGGAGCACAAGGATCTCCTTGCCAGTTTCTCTTCAATCCATATATCAATTTTATATTCAAGATAGCATCAACTACATTATATTGGGATATAAATGAGAATTGGTTTCACTTTCAAGTTTCAACATCATGGATTTTGATTCTGGGTTGTAAAGAAATTACCATCTTGTTCAGCTGTTTGTAACTTTGAGAACTGTTTTTCCATACAAATCTCAATGGCATTAAGAATAGGTGGAAGGGTTGAATCTTCTGTACTGTAGATTGAAATTCTCCCCTCCTGTCCACTATTCAATTCAAACAAGAAGAACTTAGTGGTTGCCTTCAAATACTCAAGACTAAAAGGCTCAGACTGAAAGTCATTGTAAGAGACAATCAACTGTCTTGGCCTTTCAAATTCTAGCTCTTCAACTTCAGCAAAGTGCATGTAGACATAAAGTTTGGAATTTGAGTCCATTGAGCCAAGAGGAAAATCTAATGACCGATTAGCATTAACAGGCGCTGCAGCAGTCCTCATTGCAAGGGATGGTGGTTGGTAATCATTGTCATTTCCAGAGTCAATGGAAAATTTAGTTGTTTTCTGTGTCCAATCATCGCGTTCTAAAGGCACCCAATAACGGTCATAGACATCTTCTTTAAACCTGGCCCAAGCAGAGGTATAAAGAAACCCGTTTTCTTACAAAAAGGAATTATATCTTGATATTGGAAATAGGACTTACCTGAATCCATCTTCAGCCGTCGAACCAACATCGTACCTTCCGAAGCAGTCCAGCGATCCTGTTTGACTTTCGTAAGTTGTATTCTTCAATGGCCTTAGCACTAATGCTGATATGAATGGTGTCCCTTCTCCGGTGTTTACTAGACAAACATACAAGTGATTTGACTGGAGGGTGTGAATGATCTCAAAGGAACTGGAAGCTGAGGCATCTTGTAATGACACGGTACACCACAAGTTAGGTCCAAGATACAGGTCAAATTGTGGGGTTTCATTTTTTTCATCGTAGTTTCCGTACATGAACGATGCTCTGATTAAATACCGGTCACCCTTAGTCAAGTTTAGGTTGTAACAGTTTTTGTCCCCTTCAGGGAAGCTCCTAACATTGTCCATCTGCGACTGTTTTTTTAAATTGTATTCAGGTAATACTTTCTTACTAATGCCAGTGTCTATATATTCAG